AACAGAGGAATAACTATGGCTTTCTTAAACTCTTCTGGAAAGTAACCTTGTATGAATGACTGATTCATTAAATAAGTAAAAGGAATTGCAATAAGATCAATTATTTCTTTAACAACTATTATTGACAGATCATCTGATCCACTTGAGTTTTTATTTTTCATTAACCTCAATGCAGTGTGAATTTCCTGTTCAGTAATTGGTCCATTCTCAAACGGGTGTACTAAAATGATGTTTGTACTGACTGTACAAGGTAATGTTAATGTTAGATTTCGACCTAAGTGACGCGAGATTGCAGTCTCAGCAGAATTTGCAAAATGATGAGCAAATAGTTCGGCTATAACAGGAGAGTCATCAACAAGAATTGAATTATGATTGAGTGTAATATTTTCAGCACTAGATCTGTTTTTTCCCAACTCGCTGTTTATTATATTCCAGGTTTCTTTAGTTTTGTTATTGGCATTGTAAATTTTTGTAGAAAAGTAACTTATCTTATTCTGCTTAACGTTTTTTTTGTGTTCTTTTAGTCTAGTTTTGTATACGGCCATATTGCTAGGGTCGACTTGTTGACCTGCTACAATTAAAAGGAACATGTCTCTAAGATATTGTCTTTCCTGGGCTACATCATTAGAAATCCAGTATTTTTTTTTACCTTTATTGACAACAGTTTGTCTTTTAGGACGTGAGACATCGAAGCACCAGGAGAGGAACTCTAGAAAATATGAGAAACCGTCACATTATATAATATTGGAAACCAAATTATAGTACTGAGTCTAGTTCGTAATTCATTAATGCTACTTGCATTGAGTTGTCTTTTTACCAGAACAGATTTAATTGAATTTTCCTTCTCATTACTCGTTACTCTTTGTTTTCTTAAAAGTTAATATATGGGATAAATGATCTGCAATATTAGGTTGGATTAGTTCACAATCATAAAGTTCTTTAGAGAAATTTGTAACTATTCATCAATACTGGTGCGGTTCTTTCTAGAAATCTGTAATCGGTTCAGTACTCGACTAGAGTTTTACCGGCGGTTTCCGACTGCATTCTTTCGCGGTGATGTCATGTGTTTGTACGTTGGCCGGTGGCCGGGATATCGGGTCAGGGGCGGCTTCAGTTTCGTTACAGAATGCTTTTGATTTCACGAATCCACACATAAAATCTAAGGGTGTCATATCAGGTGATCTAAAAGGCCATTCTCAGAGACCATATTTGCCTATTCACTGGTTTAGATAATTATCATATAGTCGTCTTTCGAAACCATAAACATCTGTTACTTTTCTAGAAAGTGGATCCAACTCCGCAGACGAATGAGCCGGCAGTCATCGATAAAGAAGAGAAAGATGTGAATGGAGACGTTAACGAGATTGTGGTCGATCAGATTTTCGAAAATATCAAAGTGGAGCCTTTTCGAAAACTTATCGATTTAGAATCGATGGTTGACAGACAAAAAAGCATGCTACGAGAAGTGCAGGTGTTGGAAAACGAACCACATCTAAAGAATCGAGACTGCGGAAGGGACATACTTACTTTCGAATTGTATAAAATCGAAAGTGAAATAGAATATTTGAAGGTTTGTAGTTTGTTTATGGGTGTTGAATTATACCTAAAAATATTTCGTTTATACTAACATTCTTGTATGAAAGCGGTCTGACCAATTTTTGAACTGCTAAATATATCAACTTGCTGAAGTTTATACAAGACTTCAATATGATGATGGTAATAATAATAATAATTTTCATTCACCATTTTTTATACACTTGGGCATATAAGATAAGTCAGTTGTACTACAAACTAGTAAAAATAAAAAGAGATTGAGCACAGATTTACATCTATATGTATATACACATATACACATACAGTGTGTCTCATTTCTCATAGAAACACCCCCGTATCTTCCGTAATATTCGAGGTGGAACGATGAAACTCTCAGGACTGATGGAAATGCTCAAACTGCACCCACCACCTGAATGGGGTTGGCCAAAGTGATATACACTGTCCGCCACTCGCGATGGAACACCCCATTTTTACGGTAAAACATATTAGGGGGCAAAATAGGCTCAACATTCCTTCAGATTCGTGATCAGGACTACCAACTTACTACGATTACACTTTTTTCCTGAAAAAATTTTAGTCCTGAAAAATCCGAATTTGTCTCACTTCTTATGGAAACACCCCCGTATCTTCCGTAATATTCGAGGTGGAACGATGAAACTCTCAGGACTGATGGAAATGCTCAAAATGCACCTACCACCTGAATGGGGTTGATATACACTGATATACAATGAATATATAATAATCATCTCAGTTTACTCGCACCAGAAAAATTCACCCCCCTGTATATGGGATCGTTCAGCCAAAGGTATTTATTTTCTCAATTTAGTTTGGTAGCGTGAGAGGTGCTGCCACCTGATCAGGAAAAGTTTGAAATCCGTCCTGATCACACGGATTGAGAATTAGTAGGCAACTTGGTCAACAGCTGAATTTTTCCTACCTTCTAATCTTCGTGGAGAAATGGCTAGGTTATGCCACCGATTATATCCTCAGAGACTGGATTCGGCCACGGCTTAAATGCGTGGTCTTTTAGGGGTTTGAGGGAATGAAATAATATTAGCAGAGTTTTCACAAACCAACTTTATTGATGAGTAAAGTTGGCAGAATAATCGGATTAACAATAAAAAAAATATAAATGAACAAAAATTAATACTGAACGTTATTTACACTATATTAAAGAAAAATAAATATATAATTATAACCATGAGCAAACTATGGGTAAACTACTAAAACAAAATGACAGGAGTATTCCTATGAAAATTTAAGTAACTTCACTCAGGGCATAGATATGCCTTGCCTGAATTCTACTAGCTATACTATAAAACCAACTAAAATACAACTTTTAGAAACTATCAAGAGACCCACTTAATCGCTCCTCCCTGTATAACGTAGGAAATTACTATGACCTATAATAACCTAATAAAATGAAAAGAGAAACCCGATTCGTAACTATATTATTATGGTAAATGTTCACTAATACTCTAGGTGCCAAGTCGAAAATATAATCCACATACGCATGCAATAACATCTACACTATATATCAGAATTGTTTAAAATACGCTCACCAAAATTATCGTAGACGGACTGCCCTGAAAACTCCAACAAAAACCACTATTTCCCCAAAAACCCTTACCAGGAACTCGAAAAAATCTCTAAATCACTAAATTGAATAAACCCGCGAATACTTCCAAAACCCAATTAGTATCACTTCCCTAAACCGTGACTTGAAATATCTCAATATTTCAATGCACTCAAAATTTCCTCTAGAATTTCCAGCTACTGTAAGAAATTCAACTGGATTCACCAAATCTCCGCGCACCACTGACTTTGCCTCAAATCAACTAAACCTCGATTATTTATCAATTCCAAAACACCTCGCAAAACGGTGACCTGAACTACCTCGTATTTCAGTACCTCCAGAAGTCGCTCTTAATTTCGTAGGAAGTCCAGCCTACCTACTTCTGAGTTCGTACGCTCCTGACTTTTTACCTCAAGTCAGCTAGCCAAATAAAACGCGAATAACTCCCAAATATCGAGATCACTTCTCGAAACCGTATTTCACTCTATTCGAGTATTTCCCAAAACTCTGGAGGAAATTCAACCGGCCTACTTCTGACTTCGTACGCTCCTGACATTTTACCTCAAGTCAGCTAGTCAAATAAACCGCGAATATTCATCGCACTACTGAAATCCCCTCGCGATTCAGTATTTTAAAATCCCTAGCACCTCAGTCCCTTCAATAGCTTTCCCAGCAACCTCCCCAAAGGGGCGAACTGCCCCGGGCAAGAGCCCCTAAACGACCCTGGGATCCGCGCACGACTGACTTAATTCTCTCCCAAAAATTTCCACCTTAACTCTATTAGGATATGTAATTCAAATAATCTCATAAAAATTCCCACCAATCAGAAAGTCTGAAATTATTTCCGGAACTGGTACTCTTAACGTCCTCTACATGTCCAGCGGATAAGCCCGCAAGAATTACCGTCTAGTTCCCGACATTTCTAATGTCGTGAGTCTGCTACTTATATATAGATGTCACTGCAAGGGTCATTTTGATATTTTTGCTGTTTTGAATAGTGGTATGTAGACTATGTCAGACATTAATTTTATCATGTCGTTAAAATTAAGGCTGGCACTCTAACCCCTCGGAACATAAATTTTGATATTTATTATACGTTTAATTGCTTTTTGGACTTTTATTCTAAATGGGGTATACAGAATGGATAACATATTTTCGACCCTTAACGAAAGATAATGAAATGAATTATGAGGTTGAATGTTTCAAAATATCGAATTTCTTGGCATCAAACAGTTATTTTAACAACTTTTCCTTCAAATGGCTTGGCTCTGTTGGCCTTAAGGTTATTTCTGAAAGATGATAAGGTTCCCTTTTCATACGAAAACACATGTGTTTTGGTATCTAAAATTCAACGAAAAATATAATATATCCAACTTGTTACAGGAGAACTAGAAATCCATCCACGATTAAACTGAACGCGGCTAATAAACCCAGAAACATCGAAGAACCAATTACTTTTCTCAGGTTTTGTGAAAAACTTACAAGTGTATTTTGAAATCACTTGTAGTGTTTTTCAATTTTTGCTCTGGTTTCAAAAATATCTTTATATTTTTTCAGTTAGTCTCGATGAATATTTCATTTTCCAACTTCATTTTGGTTGTAAAGCAAATCCCATCACATATCAAAACATCTAAACTGTTAATAACTCTTATTGAAAAGCGGTTTTTGAAAGCTTTATTGGTGTACTTTTTTGCAGATGAGACTAGGCGAAAGAGTCAATAGTAATTCGCCTCCAGAGTTTGTCGATTTGGCGAATCCTCACAACATGTCGTCTAAAGATCGCTGGAAGCTCTATTACCAGTGGCTAGATATTTATGTCGCCAAATTGAGGGCACGCAAAGAAGAGGTCAACAGGAGTTTTCGGAAATTGTACTCAGTCTATTCCGAAATGCGGGATATGGAGGATGCAAAAATCATGAAGAGTATGGGTTTTTGATATGAAATATCAAGTAGAATTATTTATTTATTTTTTCATTTACGGGCAAGCCCATTCAAAGTAGAAATTACAGTGTTGAATTATAATTAAAATAAAATCAGAGAAGAAACTGAATTGCGAATTGCAACTAAGGATAGCTTGAAAGGGGTACATTTAAAGTTTAAAAAGGGGGTAATTTTAGAGTATAAAACGACAAAAATAATGAGCTACGATAAAACATATACTACCATAACCTATACACTGAAACATTAAAGCGCAGTATTCCCTAATTGAGTTTTAAAATGATGCAAGGAGATGTTAAACATCTCAAGATCAACGTAATTATTGGCTAATCATATGATTCTTGGAATGCAGCTATTGAATGTGTGGTTCAAACAAAAAAATAATACGTAAAATGTTTGTTGCTGTCGAGGGGAGCAGTTTTGAACATGTAGGTAGATGAACTGTTTCTAGGTGTTCAGCACAACTGAATTTATATTCTGTGTATCTGAGGAAGTAGTGTTGGACATTTTCGATGTTCTTAATATAAGTTACACAATGAGGAACGGACCAGTGAACAATAAAGGGCTTCAATAGCAGTTGGGCAAGTGAATTCGTGGGTTAGTCGTTTGATAAACCCCGGCATTTCCATGGCTTTATGGATAGCCGCAAGTAAATGTAGAATGAAACTCAAGGTGGGATCAAGAACAACCCCAAGGTCTTTTATTTGATTGACAGACTCCAAGACATGACCAGTTAAAGTGTAATCAAAAGTGGTAGAAGGTACATGGTATTGATAAAAGCGTATGACATGACACTTTGTGGCATTCAAGTCCATGCCATTCAAGGAGCACCAGTTTGATAGATTGTCAAGGTCAGACTGAAGCCTATGGGCATCCAATGAGGTTTTAATAATCAGGAAAAGTTTTAAATCACCTGCATAATAGTGCTTTAGCGTTCTGGCAGCAATGAATAATGCCGTTAATGAATAAATTGAATAATAAGGGACTGAGGTGTGGCCCCTGAGGAACACCGGAGGTTACTTCAAATAACGTGGAGTAGTGATAATTTGCTCTAACCAATTGAGTCCTATTAGTAAAATAACTACTAATACGTTCCAGTAATACCCCACCTACACCATATCTGTTGAGCTTTTGGAGTAATACAATATACACAAAATCAATCTGGCAGCCCTTCTCCAAAGATTCCGACAGGAAGTGGGAATAGGTAACTAGGTTCAATTCAGTCGATTTCTTAGTACAAAAACCATATTGTTGTTCAATTATGATGCCAGAGCAATCATAGGTAATGTTATCTGCCAGAAAGTTCTCGAATATCTTGGGAATTGTAGGTCAGTAATTATTAACGTCTGACTTAGTAACCGATTTGTATATTGGGGTGACATAAGATTGTTTCCAATAATCTGGAAACACGCCTGACTGGATAGATTTATTGAAAACATAGAAGAGAGGGCGATAGTTGATAGTTTTCATCTCTTCGAGCTCCTTATTGATGCGGTTGGTTTTGAACATTTTACTTGTATGAGTGTACCTGAAATTTAATGTGTCAGGGTGAAATAAAAGAAATACTAATCAGGAATTTTCATGGATCCTGAAGACAGATTTTTTGTTTATTTTGATCAAGCTGAACTACAAAAAAATGTGAAATACGAAGAGGTGCAAAAATAGCATTAATACCAAATATACAAGATTCTAATTCAGAATCCATCATGTTGAATTCATACAAACTAATCAATAACATGTTTCATATTTTTCTAAAGGCTTCTTGATTTGACTATTGAATGATTTTTAATATACTCTGCTGAATGACTGTACATTTTTATATCATTAAAATAGGTTAGGAATGAATAGGTTTTTCAAAGAGTTAGCTCATCGAAGAATTATGGAGATAAAGCTGTTGTATGATTAATTGAGTCTGTGAAAAAAATCATGAAAGGTTTGCACCTGCCTAGTTAACGACTAGGGACAAGTAGAGATAATTTTGAATACGTTCACCAGTTGTATAGGCAATCAATATCGTTTTGTAGAATCAACGTATCGGCCTCACATTTAATTATTTTAAAACATTTTAAACATTCAGCAAATAGCAAAGCTTTACTTTCATGGAAGCAGCGAATTTGATCTTTAATGGAAAGGTTGAACAACAGTGGTCCCAAATGTGATCCCTGTGGAACACCCGCATAGCAATGATTAATCCTGAAAATTTGCGTTATTTCTTTGATAGATCTATTAAGTCACCTTGTGAACCGCTCAAAAACTTCAGGGATTACGCTAAGAATAGAAATGTCAGATGTTCGGTCTAGTTTATATATTGGAGTAAAATATGAGGTTTTCCAGTTCTCCGGAAACTCGCCTGATGATAAAGAAATATTAAATATAGTTAACGTTTCGGAAAAGTATCCGTTTCTGTTCTCGAAAGTCAAACTCGCTTGCCTCAATTAGAAATAGTTATATTTCCTTTAACAAACGTCAAATACGGCCCATTGAGGCATTCTTCCTTCCAAGTATGCGAATTTTCAATTTTTGAAGTTACACTGTTATTCTAGGCAGTCTAGTCGTCGGAATGACAACTACAGGTGCGGCTCGTCTTCAGTCTTCCTTGCAATCCCTCAAGAGTCCGATAGTGATCGTGGAGGAAGCCGCCGAGGTGCTGGAAGCTCACATCATAAGTTCTTTGACGCCTCACTGCAGACATTTAATTCTCATCGGCGATCATCAACAGCTGAAGCCAACCACCGCGAACTTCAAAATTGAAACCAAATATGGTCTAGGTATTGTAACTTCCATAATATTAATTGTAATGTATTGCATTGACTGTGAATACCATACACATAAAAGTCATACCATTCATATGAAAGTCATACCATACACATTAGTCATAACATACACATGACATCCATACCATACATATGAAAGTCACACCATACACATGAAAGTCATACCATACACATGAAAGTCATAACGAATCCACATTTACTGAATATTTGATTTCTATTGGGTACTTTCATGAGTATTTCACCAGAAAGGCTAAGTGAAAGCCCATATATGTACATATATTTGGTGGAATGTATAATTGCAAACATTTTCTGTCATTTTACAGGTATCAGTTTGTTCGAGAGGATGATCAATAACAAAATCCAGTGCCACACTTTGACCGTTCAACATCGAATGCGCCCGGAAATATCTTGTCTTATCAGACCTGCAATTTATCCAGTCTTAGAAGATCACATTTCTGTCAGTAATCGACCTCAGACTCTTGGAGTAGAAAAGTGTCTTTATTTCTTGGATCATCAAGAACAAGAAGACATTTGCAAGGATAATAGCAAGAGGAATGTGCACGAGTCGAAATTTTTAATAAGACTGGCAAGACATCTAGTACTAAATGGCTACAATCCTACGGTGAGATTTATACATTTGCTAGTACTATGTTGCTGTATCGCTGCTGTTTCAATGTTTTAACAGAATCAGAATCAACGAACTTAGGCGTGCGCAGCGTTATAGAACAGTGCTTTCAAAAAATTGTTCTACAGCCCCATCTAGTGGCGAGTTACAGAAAAATTGATCTATGAAGGTTTTTAGGCTATCATCACCATCAGTTGAGCGATGAAGAAGTTTATCAATTACCTAACAACCAACAAACATCCATTTTTATATAGTAGATTTTCTGAAATAAATAAGTATAACTGTTTTTTTTGTAACGGGATTCTTACTGTATATATAGAACAGAAACACCTGGAAATCCTGCATGCATGTGTCTAGATTTCAGAGTTTATTTGAAATATAACAAAGAAGCCCTTTGGTTTTATACTTTATTAATACCTAGAGACAGGCACTTGCCAGGAATCGCACATTGAAAGATAAGACCTCTACAATCCTTAGCTCGCACAAGTTGCGACGTTTGAGGGTTGTGGTTGGTTCAGGGGTGGTAGCTGGCTAACAGAAAAATACAATAAAATAATATGCTTTATTGTCAGAAAAAACAAGTCTTAATGACAAAGTCATGGTAGAAGTAATTTAAAACAAAATTGAAGAAGTATCACAGAATCAAATATACGTATAAACTCAACTACATTAAATGGATATGAACAACAATATTCAGATACAAAAGGAATCCAGATCTTGAAATATTACTTCATAAAATTGCATAAAATGCACAGTCTAAAAGTAGCTCCTTTAGGGCATTCCTAAATTTGGTATATAGTTACGTTTTTTCCCGTGGGTTGACCAATAATTGACTACACTGAACAATAATTCAATTTAACTTTATTTCACTTCAAATACAACAAACACTTCAACTAGAACTATTATTCGAATGTCTATCGCCTTACTAGATCGCTTCGCGTACCGCACTGTAACTTCCACTTTACTGTGTCGATATGCCCGTGGCCAGCGTTTATATATCGTAAAAAATCGTAGAAATCGTAGAAAATTTGTCGGAATTCCATCGAAATCGTTAGTATTATTCGCGCGCTCTTAGCTACGTCACAATTGATTTATGGCTACCAGTGGCGGGCGGCGTTATTTTCTTTAGGGCATAATTTACAACAATATACAAATAAGAAACAAACATTTGAACGAGGTATATTTTTAGGAAAAGTAAATTTTTTAGGAAAGAACGGTTTTGGCATTCCACTTCTTCATCTTGATACAAAAACATGTGGGAATCGAACAAAACTTTGGCGTGGTTTTTTATCATTGAGCTTTTGGTAGTAGGTGAGGAGATCATGTGGCTGATATGGCTTGTATTATATCGGAAATTTAAATTGATCGCATGACAAAATTTTTTGTAAATCAAGCATACACTCTCCCAAATAAATATATACGTCAAATGTCAACATTCTGTGGTATTTAAACAGAGGTTTACAAGGGTATCTTGGCTCTGCTCTGCAGATATAAAGCAATGTTCTTTTTTTATGAGGAATACAGAGTTTAGTAAGAATTAAGAACTGTTGCCCCAAAAACAAATCCCATATTTCAAATGAGAGTCAATTAGAGCACAATATGCAGCTTTTGCTGGTAAGAAATTGAGTTCTCTTGCTAAAACCTTATATAGCTAATTTCTTGCACAAAGATGAAATATGAATAGAGAATGAAGGGTCATCAACATGTAGTCCAAGAAACTTGGTTACTGGTTCCATTGCTGTTGGTGAAGTGCCTAGAAAAACTTCACTAATCGTGCTTTTGAAGGTTAATGGTGCTTTTGAAGGTTAAGATGCATATGTCTCAGAGATAATTTAGTTGAATCACTCAATTTTCTAACATCTTCCATATCTGCTGAAACGAAATCATTCAGTTCATTAATATCTTTGCTATTCCATACTATTGTGGTGACATCAGCAAATAGAGTAAATTTTCCTTTGATTTCAATTGAGGCAATGTCATTTATATATAAGAAATATAACAGTGGTCCCAGCACCGAACCTTGGGGTACTCTACATGACATGACTCGACACTCAGACATCATACCCTGTAGTGAGACTTGTTTGGTACGCTCTGATAAATAAGAATGTAGCCATCTCAATGAGACTTCTCTTAAGCCATAAATTTCCAATTTTTCCATGAGTATACTGTGATCTTCACAGTCAAATGCTTTCATAAGATCACAAAACAGCTGGGTATATTTCTTTTAGATATGAACTACTTTGAATTGTGTTTAGCAGTTTGTCGTTATGTATGATTCTAGGTTGTTTTTGTAAGATTTGTGAATTTTTTTTTTCAGAAAATTACCATTTTGGTTGCGTATTTGGGTCAAATGTTTGAGATGCAACGTGAAAAGAGACAGTACTCCAATTTGCTGCAAGGCATAAGAATTGCAGTCTTGGATAACTACCAGGGAGAAGAAAATGATATTATACTTTTGTCTTTAGTTCGGAACAACAGCGAGAATAAAATTGGATTCTTAAAAATTGAAAACAGAGTATGTGTGGCTTTATCGCGGGCTAGAAACGGTTTGTACATCATGGGAAATATGAATCTTCTTTGTAATAACAGCAAGGTAGAGAATTTTAGTACATTATCGAGCAGATTAAAGTTACTCTTATTTTTTTTAGATTTGGCCGAAAATAAGAGAAGCGCTGGAGAGCCAAAACGCAATCGGTCATAATCTAATGCTCCGTTGTCAGGTACACTATGACAAAATAACTCCTGTTAAAAAAGCAGATGATTTCAATAGTTTTCCGGAAGGAGGTTGTAGTCAAATATGTGGAGCGAAATTGGGATGCGGTCATTTCTGCAAAAGATTATGCCATGTTGAAGACAAAGAACACGTCCTTCATAAATGCAGGGAAAAATGTAGCAAGTTAGTATTTAGAAGAGTAACCCGAAAATTAACTGAAAACATGTACTTACTATTTTTTTTAATAGATAATCTGAGACAGTTTCTTATATTTTTAAATCACTATGCATATTTAAGGTTTTAAAATTAAAATTTTAAACAAATTCATTCGTGCTATGGGCTTTTTCACGATCATAATGAGATTGCTCTTGTTCAGACACTCGGACATTTCACATGTGTTCAGACATTTCACATGTGTGTTCGGACATTTCACGTGTACATACACGTGACCATTTCATGTGTGTGTTCGGACATTTCACGTAAATGTGTTCGAACAATTCATATATGTATTCAGACATTTCACGTGTGTGTTCGGACGTTTCACGTGTATGTATTCGGACATTTCACATGTGCTTGGACATTTTAGGTGTATGTTCGGACATTTCACGTTTGTATGTTTGGACATTTCACTTGTGTGTGTGTATGTGTTCGGAAATTTCACAGCTTGGACATTTCAGGTGTATGTGTTCGTTCATTTCACGTGTGTTTGGACATTTCACGTCTGTTTGGACATTTCACGTGTGTTTGGACATTTCACGTGTGTTTGGACATTTCACGTGTGTTTGTTTGTTTGGACATTTCACGTGTGTTTGTTTGGACATTTCACGTGTGTTTGTTTGGACATTTCACGTTTTCACGTGTGTTGTGTGTTTGGACATTTCACGTGTGTTTGGACATTTCACGTGTGTTGTGTGTTTGGACATTTCACGTGTGTTGTGTGTTTGGACATTTCACGTGTGTTGTGTGTTTGGACATTTCACGTGTGTTGTGTGTTTGGACATTTCACGTGTGTTGCGTGTTTGGACATTTCACGTGTGTTTGGACATTTCACGTGTGTTTGTTTGTTTGGACATTTCACGTGTGTTTGTTTGTGTTTGGACATATCACGTGTGTTTGTGTTTGGACATTTCACGTGTGTTTGGACATTTCACGTGTGTTTGGACATTTCACGTGTGTTTGTGTTTGTACATTTCACGTGTGTTTGTACATTTCACTGGTGTGTGTGTGTGTGTAGGTTAGAAAATTTAATGTGTGTGTGTGATCGTACATTTCACGGATGTGAAGATACAACTCTGTTACTATTTTATAGCGTCTTATGCGAAGACCCAACTCACATATGTCGTGAGCTCTGCTTCAAAGAATGCGGCCCGTGTAAGTATCTTGTGAATCGCAAATTACAGTGCGGGCATCTCGTCGAAATCACCTGCCACTCAGATCCAACAGTGTACGAATGTAAAGAGGACGTTTACACGAAGTTACCCTGTGGACACGAAGCCAAAAAACCATGTCACATCAACCCGGAATTGTTTCGGTGTCCATATCCTTGCGATTCCAGAGTGGAACCCTGCGGGCACTCATGTACCAGGGGTTGTCATATCACCGATGATCCCGATCATTTAAAGGTTGGTCTCGAAATGTCATATGAATTATTTTTCATTTCGTTGAACTAATTGAATTATCCAAATATTAATTGACTCCATAATTATTTCACACAGTGTGAAAACGTTAATTTCATGAGGCACTGCAGGCCTCATAAAGACATTGTCTGTTTGAGGAAAATAACATTGTTCAGACTAATCCATCATATCCCCAAAAGTCACTAATGTAAAGTAATTCCACAGTACAAGTGCATGAAACCGTGCGATAGATATCGCAAAGGGTGCACTAATCAGACTGACGAGGCTCATCTTTGTCGAAGAATGTGCTGTGAAGAATGTCCAGAATGTGAAGTGGAAGTCCTGAAGAAGAAAAGAAAATGCAATCACTCTTTCAAAATTGCCTGTAAACAAGACGTCGATCTGATTCCGTGTCGTAAACCTTGTCTGAAGATCTTACCATGTGGTCACAAATGCACAAAGAGATGTGAAGCATCTTGCGGCAACTGCCGCAAAATGGTAAGTTTATTAGAAAATGTAATTGCATGGCTAGTTTTTCTGGAGGACAAAGTCTTGTGTAATAAAGTATAAGTTAGCTATATTAATTTTCCTCAAATATTAAATACCAAAACACATGTGTTTTCGTAGAAGAAGGGAACCTTCATCAGCTTTCAGTAATAATCTTGAGATCAACCAGAGCCAAGCCATTTAACAAAAAAGTCGTTAAAATAAACTGCTCGATGTTTAAGAAATTTGATATTTCAAAACATACAACCTCATCATTCATTTCATTATCATGTCGTTAAGGGTCGAAAATATATTATCCAGTCTGTATACCCCATTGAGAATAACTGTCAAAAAACCTTGAAAGTGTCTAAGTAATAAACTAGATTTATCTTCTGAGAGTTCAGAGTGCACAGACGAGACTAAACAGCGTTGATTTTAACGACGTGACAAAATTAATGACTAGTGACATCTAGATATCAGTAGCAGGCTCACGACATTAGAAATATCAGGAAGCAGTTGGTAATTCTTGCGAACTTGTTCTCCTGACCATGAGAGGGCGATAAGAGTATCAGTCTTGGAAACAATTTCAGTCATTTTGATGGGGTGAGAATTTCCTGGGGGAATTTGAACTTCATCCCCTAACTGAATGAAGTTTGGAAGAGACAAAAAATAATTAAGGCAGTCGTGCGCGGAGTTCAGTTGAATTTCTTACAAAGGTTGGAAATTCTAGAGAAAGTTTTGAATGAATTGAAATATTGAGATATTTCAAATCTCTGTTTCGAGAAGTGATATTGGGTTTTGATAATTATTCGTGGTTTGATTCAGTTTAGTTGATTTAGAAAACATCATCGAGTTTCTGATAAAAGTTTGGGGCAGTTTTTGGGAAGAAGTGGCTTTTGTTGGAGACTTCAGGAGAGTCTCTTCACGATTAGTTGGTGAGTGTATCTTGAAAATTCTAATCTATATTGTATATGTTATTGCATTTATATCTGTTTTACATTTTCGAATTGGCACCTAGGATATTGTTGAAAATTTATCATATAGCTACGAATTGGGTTCCCTTTTCCATTATTTAAATATTAGTAAGTTTTTGGTACTTTTCCTACGTTATACAGGGGGGAGCGATTGAGTGGGTCTCTTAATAGTTCCTCATAGTTGTGTTTCATAGCATAACCAAGTTCCCCCCGCTCTGCGAAGATAGAAAGGTAAAAATTTCACCTGTTGGCCAAGTCACCCACTAATTCTCAATCCGTGTGATCAGAACGGAATTCAAACTTTTTGGTGGCAGGGTGTATTTTTATTGTGTGAAAATAATTAAGATAATTATTATATATTTAGGATCATATATCATTAGTAGTATATAGGGATTGCTAATAGTTTTAGAGGGAAAACCAAAATTGACAATAAAAGGAAGATTCATCTTGAAGCAAATGGTATCCGGATCAATGATGGAACAGAAGTTGCCAATAATTTTGCTTGCCACTTTGCCAGAGCAGCCTCGGTAGCTCTGTTAAGACATGTAGGTCAGAACATGTCACTACCACATACGGTATCGGAATTTAACGAAAACTCAATGTTTTTTGAAGAAGTGCTAGAACCTGAACTAGTTTCAACAATAACCGAACTAAAAAATGAAAAATCGAGTGGCCTAGACGATATAACAATAAAAGTTCTAAAATATGTCATTCCATCTATATCTGATATTCTATTGAATCTTATGAATCTTTCTATAATGGAAGGCGTGTTTCCGAGTGTCTTCAAAACAGCCAAAGTTATTGAAAGTTATTGAAAAAATAGTAGCAAATAGAATTATTGCGTTTCTCGAAAAATACAAGATTCTAACCGATCATCAACATGGTTTTAGAAAAGCTAGATCAGTTGAGACCGCTATTGCTAAAAAATTCGAGTTTATTTACAATGAAATCGATAAGCGGAAGTACGTAGTTTCAATATTATTTGACTTGGCTAAGGCGTTTGATTCAGTAAATAGTGACATAATGGTTAGTAAGTTATATAACATTGGCATTAGGGGGTTCCTTCTGGAATGGATAAAATCTTTTATGGAAGATAGGAAAATGGTAGTGACTGTGAATAATGCAGTATCTGATATTCAAGAGATTATCCTTGGGGTACCACAGGGGTCCATTTTAGGCCCACTGTTTTTCTCCATCTATGTAAATGATCTTCCAAAGTATATAAAACAAGGTTTTATTATCCTATCTTGTGGAGGAGCTAGAAAACAACATTAATTCAGTCATGGATGACATGATTTCTTGATGTGATAGAAATCAACTAAAACTGAACAAAAGTAAAACAGTACATTTAAGCTTCGCGTTGAGTAAAACAGTGAAACTCAACAGCATCCAACTTTCGGAAACAGCCAAACTCCTTGGTATGTTTATAGATAAAACCTTGTCTGGGGAACCCCCTATCGATTATGTCTGCAAAAAATTGAATCAAGCGTTATTTGCAATACGACAGATCAAAGACGTGCTTAGTTTAGGTGGTATCAGGACTGTTTACTATTCATTGGCGTACTCACATATGGCTCAAAATGTATTAATGTGGGGTTCTTCTGTGGGGGCAAAACGTGTTTTTATTGTTCAAAAAAGAATAATTAGAACTATATTTAATATTGCACCCAGGGATAGCTGTAGACCTACTTTCTGCAAGAACAAGATGCTAACGTTACCGTGTATCTATATATATAAAGCTCTGCTCTGTGTGAAAAATAATGTACCCAATCTGAGAGATGAATCAATAGTTCATAACTATGCAACACGAAATAGACATTTATTAACTATCCCAAAACATAAAACATCGACATTCAAGGAATCGCTTGCATATAATGGCATAACATTATTCAATACGTTGCCTCAAGATATTAAAGATTTGCATATTATACCATTTAAAAAACAAATAAAGGAGCTATTAACTAATAAGGGATATTATAGCGTAGAACAATTCTTAGAACAGGATACACTGATATCATGATTATTGCTTTCACTGCATTTGTTTCATCCTAGTTAAAGATAAATTTACTTAATGTGTATTTATGTATGTGTGTATGTGTGTTTGTGTTATTTTTTATTTATGTATATGGTTAAGTAGCTGTTTCAAGTGTCAGATCTATGTTATACTGTGGACCGTTATTATTGTTTTATATAATTTTCATATTTTTATTTATGACATGTTTTATATCATGTATATGATTGAAAAGACGAATAAAGTTATTATTATTATTATTACCATTAATACAGATTCAAAGGTCACTTATTATACTTGCAGTGTCTCTGACAGATGAATTTTGCGGTGTAGTATGATATACAAGTTTGACAATTCTAAAGCTCCTCCTCTTTGTTAGGGGATGTTTGGTTTAGGAAAAGAAACTTCAATGACCTATACACCAGAAAATTGTTAACCGCTACAAGATTCGGTAGTTTGACGCTCTGCTAGATTGATTATGAAGATTTTAAAAGTCGCCATATAGAGAGGACAAAAACTTTACTGTTCATTGAATGTGATTTTAAATCTTATTCTCTTGTAGGTGGAAAAAATCGTTTCCGACTGTAACCATACAATCAAAATCGAATGTTCTGTGGAACCCGAGAAGAAATTTTGTAAATCAAAATGTCCGCGCGTGTTGCCATGCGGCCACGAGTGCCCGAATAGATGCGACGAAGACTGTACCACGAACTGCAAAGTAATGATCGACTGCTCCATTCCTAGTCCGTGCGGTCATATAGTCAAAAGAATTGAATGTTTCCTGAAAGATTCGGGTAAGTTATTGAATTGATTTTGTCTAGTAAGGTTCTGATCATCGGTATAAGTATTTATATTGAAAGAATATTTTAGCTCTGACCAAAGTATTGAAAATAGAACATTGGAATAACATTATATCAAAATAAAAGTACAACAATTAACAAATATGTAAGAGATCTCCCTTTATGAAAACACCATCTGTAGCATCAACAATAGAAACCACAAATATTAATAGTATTAAAAACCTCCAATCCGGGTTTGTTTTGTGACTTTCTCTGCAACTTTCCCTGCAAGCTAACTAATTGAAACAGGGTCTCAAAATCAAAGCATTCGTGACTCAAAACCATCACCATAGTGTTGCTAGACTGAATCATGTTCATCGATGAACTCAACTGTTCTTAAAGTATAATACCGCGAGTATAAGCATACCCCTTCACGAAGATACTATCTATGGACATCTTCTTGAGTGGAGATGTCCTTTTGGTTGCTTATACTCGGGCTTGTCCTTCAAGGACAGTTTACTTCCAACATTATCTCATAAATGTCATTATGCCCTCCATAATTGAGAAAGTGACAGTGATTCATGGGCGATATTGATATCACATTATCCCGAAGTACTTAATTCTTAATGATATCAACATTAAAACGAGACGATGTTACGAGACGATGTTGGGATATTTTAAAAATATTCTTACGTTTTCTCGTCTAAAAATGTGGACCTTCTTATTCATCCATTTATTTTCTTGTAATTAGTTGGACATGTTATTTTTCGTTAAATATTGACTACCAAAACAGATGGGCTTTCGTAGAAAAATGGAATCTTTATGAGCTTTCAGTAATAGTTTTAAGTCAACTAGAGCCAAGCCATTCAAAGGAAAAGTCGTTTAAATCAACTGCTTGATGTTTAAGAAATCTGATATTTTAGAACATTCAACCTCATCATGCATTTCATTATCATGACGTTAAGGGTCGAAAACATATTATTCAGTCTGTGTACCCCGTTTAGAAAACAGTCAAAAAGTACTTTAACGTATAATAAATATCGAAATTTATTTTATGAGTTCAAAGGTTTAACGACATGATAAAAATTAAGGCATCTGTCTGGGATACCTCTTATTCGAGATAGAGAAAATATCAAAATAACCCGTGCAGTGACATCTATATATCAGTAGCAGGCTTACGACATTAGAAATATCGGAGACCAGTTGAAAATTTACCATATAGCTACGAATCGGGTTCCCTTTTTCATTTTATTAGGTTATTATTAGGTCACAGCATTGTTCTAGTTATATAGGAAGGAGCGATTAAGTGGGTCTTTTAATAGTTTCTCAGAGTTGTATTTCATGTTGTTTTTATAGCAGATCTAGTAGAATTTGTTATTTCAATTTTCAGAGGAATAATACTGTCATTTTGTTTCAGTGGTTTATTCATATTTTTCACATAATTATATATTTCTTTTTCTTTCATATCGCACACAATTTAATGTTCAGTAAAACAGATATAAAAGAATAGTTTCCATATTATTTTGTGTAGGTTAAACTCCAGTTTTTTGATTTTATTTTATCAATTGTTAATCCGATTATTCCGTCGACTTTATTCATCAATAAAGTTGGTTTGTGAAAACTCTGCTAATATTTTTTCATTCCCTCAAACCTCTAAAAGACCACGCATTTAAGCCGTGGCTGAAAACAGTCTCTGAGGATATAATTGGTTGCATAAGCGAGCCATTGCTCTACGATGATAGAAAGGTAAAAAATTCAGCTATTGGCCAAGTTGCCTACTAATTCTCAATCCGTGTGGTCAAGACGGATTTCAAACTTTTTCTGATCTGGTGGCAGCAACCGTCGCGCTACCAAATTAAATAAAAAAATAAATAGCTTCTGCTGAATGATCCAATGTACAGGGGGGGTGTATTTTTCTGGTCCGAGTATAACTGAGATAATTGTTATATATCAGTAGTATATAGGGATCGCCAATTCAGCCCAGACGGTCATTTTTACATTCTCTCCGATTTAAAATCGGTCAACGCTTTTTTAGGCAATTGAACGTTGTTGGGCACATTGAAAAACACGTTTTATTCTATTATTATTTCATGCAAGTCAGGAATTGTGATATTACCTCTCGACCTCTACCTCACTGGAGAAATCGCTGCATTTGTTTTTTTCAGAGGACCAAAAGATTCGGGTAAACTTCTGCACGGAACCTTGTGGAGTCAAGCTGAAGTGCAACCACATCTGTCAAGGTACTTGCGGAGAGTGTTCTCAAGGTCGCATCCATGTAAAATGCAAAGAGAAATGCGGCGTCCCATTGGTTTGCAACCACGAGTGTCCCATACCCTGTCGGGAGGCTTGCAAACCATGTCGAAGACCCTGCGAGTACCGTTGCAAGCACAGCAAGTGTAAGAGGAACTGTGGAGACCCATGCACGGTCTGCAAAGAGAGCTGCCCAAGAAAGTGTGAGCATCAGGTGAGTAATAGTAGTACCAATAAATAACTAGTTAGTTCGGACTCAATTTTCAAATATGAGTCGAAATCTATGAATTTTTATTTCAATAATACAATCACTACAAGGAAAAACTGATCTTTTGTGAATATTTCAAGGCATTTTGTCGAATTACTAGTGGCAATCTAAGTCAGAACAAGATCAACTGAGCAGTTTCAACATAGAAAGCCTTTACACCAATATTCCTGTTGAAGAAGCACTTCAAATCATACACAGGAAGCTTTCTGAAGACGAGGATCTGGAAGATAGATTGAACTTACCCAGAGAAGTGATGATGGAATTACTGTGGTGTTTGGAACTTCTATTTCCAACTGAAGGACGAATTCTTTACACAAGATGAGGGGCTGCCAATGGGATCGCCACTTTCACTAGTTATAGCCAACATAAACAGGTTGCCACAGAATACTGATTTGTACAGGTTGCTTTTATGAACAACAGGAAGGAACGGCCATGGGTAACCCCTTGTCCCCCTACCTGGCAGACCTGTTCATAAGTATATTCGAATGGGAAGCCAAAAAAAGTCAAAAGTATTCTCCTAGGATTTGGCTAAGTATGTGGATGATATTTTCGCGATATTCGATACCAAAAAATCGAATATTGAGGACTTTGTTTCCTTTTTAAATAATAGATGTCCATCAAAAAAATTCACGTATGAGTTAGAAAATAAGGGACAACCACCATTTCTTAACGTTTTGGTAATGAGGAGCCAATATGGAGGGTTAGAATACGATATATTTAGAAAAGAAACAAGCACGTACAGGTATATTCCTGACAGTTCATATCACTGTGGACAGCACAAACTTGCTGGGTTGAATTTTTTAGTGCTTCGTCTTTTGACTTTCCCTCTAACACATGATAGGTTCACAAAAGAAAGACCTACAATGCAGGAAATAGCAGCCACTAACGGTTTCTCGAGGGATATTGTAGATGACATAATAAGGAAGAAGAAGTTTAGGTTAAGAATGAACGATATCTTGACTTTTAGAAAGGACAAAAACCAAGATAAATGCATCTCAGTTCCATACCACCAATATACGAGGAACTTTGGAAAGATTTTCAAGGAACTAGGTATGAAGGTGGTTTTTAAAACAAGTCATACACTACAGAGCGTTTTGGGAAGTCCTAAAGACAAAGTCGAGAATTAGAAAAAGTCTGGAATTTACGAAATTGAATGTAAGGACTGCGATGCAAAATATTATGGACAGACAACAAGATCTATTGAAGTGAGATATAAGGAACACATAGCACACTTGAAATATGGAAGACCTGAAAAATCAGGAGTCACCCATCATATTTTGCAACAAAACCATTCCATAGACTTCAGTTCATTAAGATTAGTTAGACAAATTAACAACAGCAGGCAACCAGATGCCTATGAGATTGGAGAAATAAGTAAACATAATAATATGAATAATGATGACGGACCAATACCAAATAGCACACTATATAGCTTGTTGAAATAGTATTATTTATTTACTGACCCTTACATAAGGACACAATGTAAAAATAAATTTAGGACAAGTAGATAGGCAATATTGTGAAATTAATTTGTATATAGCCGAAAATGGTTTTATATATATAGCTATAACATTTATTTATTAGATTAGATTATATTACACATATTGTAAAATTAATAGATAAGGCATATTGTAAAATTAATTTAAGACACCAAAGGTGTGGTATGCCTGTGATACACCTATATGGTATATCTGTATAGTATAAATAGTGTTAGCCTTGCAAGTTTTTCCAGTTTAATGTTTCTCTTGAAGATGATCATTTGGTGATCGAAACACGTGTCGAGGTGTTTAAAATAACGATTTGGTGTTGGGAAAAAAACTACAGTAATATTCATTACTACACCAAAGGTTCCAAACAGTGGTTCACAAGAACATATTTCATTGATGCAACTAGTTTTCCTTTATTTTCAATGTTTTGATATTAACACTTGTTCACAAAAAGGATTTGAAGCTTCAATAACTCCTTATTATTATATGCGAGCGCCTTAGGTACCAGACTGTGCTATCTATCTATCTATCTTCATGACTCCACTCAAACTGAACGTTTTATCTTCTTGTTTGTTCTTTCATAAGGTTAGATTGTCTTTGTTATTTTGTTATTGTTGTTGCTGGTTCATTAATTAGGCTTTGGGCAGATATTTGTCCTCTCTTTTCATCCAGATTTCTCTTTAAATTTGCCTGTACTTGGATTACATCAGGTAATATCTTTTGTGTTGGTGTTTTTCTAGGTTCATTGTTTCTAGGAATGTGTATTGTGTAGTATATTGAATGTTGTTGTTGTGTTTTGATTTCTATTCCTCGATAAGGGAATTATGGTTTTCGAATTTATGGATGTTTAGGTTTAGGGGAAACCGTGAAGTAACTTGTTTTTTCATAAGTTTCGGATCATAGTGGATTCATATTAAAGAATGAAATTCACTATGAAACATTGTAAAACCACTTTCAAATAAAGATTTAAAGATGAGTCATTCTTTATTATCAAAGATAAAGATAATAGTACTAATTAACTAATAGTGTTTGAACATTTGGTAGATAAATAGAATAATATAATAGTAATAATAAAGAAATTAATTTAAAATCACCAGAAGCTAAAGTAATAAATATAAGAAATTAAAAAACTTAGATAATAGCAAAAATAATATAATAATATTGACATTAATTGTATGAGTACTTTAAGAGCTCTAGAGTTCATGAAAATTAAGGACATCTACTTTTTGCAGAACAGTTTATAACTATGAATACTTTTGATGGACTCTGGAATGATCACTTCTGAATCCAGACTGCTGTTTCATTAGGAGTTTATTTTCATTATTATAGTCTGTGTGTCTACAACTTACATTTACATTCGTACCTGTATTCCCAGAAATGCTCAAGAAAATGCGGATATATGTGCGACGTTCCCCCTTGCAACAAACCATGCAAGAAAAAATTGAAATGCGGCCACAGATGTATCGGCTTTTGCGGAGATCCCTGCCCCATTCTCTGCAAGGTTTGCGACCGAGATGAATTAACACACATCTTTCTCGGCAACGAAGACGAAGAAGACGCCATCTACGTCATGCTGGAGGATTGCAAACACATTTTCGAATCCGACGATATAGAAAACTGGTTGATGATGGGCGAGGACGAGATAAAGGCCAAGGTACGTTCCGAAATTATTAAGGTCAAATCAGACAACTCTTCATTCCCTGAACTATTTTCCACTACTTTCAGAAAAACTCTTTGTTGTATATTTCCCTCTTTTAACATTTCTGAACAATCACAGGTCACTGACACTATGCATAATGTCCATAATTTTGAATATTGAAGGACATATTATGGATGTCCATTTTCACATTGTCCATGTCCCTTTCCATGTCCATATCGATAGGGATCTGTCATGTGATAACTGTACTGAGTTTTAATTGGCTGAAGCATTCAAAAACAGGAGCGTTAGAGGCAAATTGACGTTTGCCACTTGAAATACTATTTTAGTTGTATATTTTAATTGAAAGGGGTGGATTTAACTTTAGAAAATAATCACTGAATAATTAGGTTTGCCCAAGATGCAAAACTACTATCAAAACCACAACCAGATACAGCAATTACATCAGGCGTACTCTGGAGGATATCACCATGGTGAAGACTAAGTTTTATGGTGATCCAGACGAGAACGAAGGCGTATCTTATGAACTGATTGCCGAATTGCAGAACCTATTAGAGAAAGTTTCATGGATAAAGAGTAAGCAGTTTTCGTTTTTTCACTTCTCAGCCTTGGTGTAACTAAGTTTTTTTTCAACTCCTATAATTGATTCAGCACACAATTTGTTCACTTGACTTTCTTTATTATTTTACATTTGTATGCACTTTTATATTTCAAAATAAAGGGGGGTTCAGTTGATGTCTCCTTGAGAAGGACAACCTTCTCAAGTTGAAATTTGCGTGTTGAAGATTAACGAGGGCTTATCTTTTGATGTGAACGGATCAGACTATACGCAATGAACACCCACCATCCCAGAATTGAGATCGTCCAAAGAAATTTGGTTCCCGATATCAACCGAATGGATTTTGGTTAAATTCATATGTTTCACAGATGAAATCAGTTATCTTGTTTTTTATATTTTGGTATCGGAGTACTGGTACCTCTGCCGTTTAGGTTTCAATGCACATCACCTCAGAAATTTGTTACATAAAAATATGATGTAGAGGAATCTATAGGCCTTACCAAAGAACAATATAAAACTAGCCTATACAGTTTGGGATCCTCTGCAAATTTCAAATGACGGCCGAAGTGTTTAACATCTGAGACATCGTTTACAAATAGAAAAAGAGTATTGAGCCATAAATGCGATCCTTGAGGAACTCTCCACAGCAATTTTTGGTGATATGAAACCATCTTATTTGATACAAACAGAATTTTATTCACTTAACGACTCCTTATCTATTTAAACATTGGTACCTAATGTTAGAAGTTCAGTCATGAGAAAGTCATGATTAACACTGTAGAAAGTTTTAGAGAGTTGGTATTCTGCATGGTTTTCATATGGAACATAGTTTTTTAGATATCAAACAATTCAGAAATTTTTAAATTTCATTTCCACGATTGAATCATCATATTCGCTAACAACTCGAAATATAAAAAAATATGTTATTATAATGTTTGAACTCTTCTGACGAATTATCATATTTAAATTCAATTATCAATTCATAGCAAGTAAACCAGTTGTACACCACCTGATTTCTTATTTTATTAGATCTTATGCTAGTGTATAAATTCCATTATTTTTTAGTAGAAAAAAAAGATTTGAGAGTCGCAATAAATCACTTGCTTCTGAGACTGGAAAGGACTAGGAATATGCGCTATCAACCCATTAACAAAATGGATCTGCAAGCCATCAAAGCCAAATGGCAGATTTTTAAAGCCGTTGTCAAAATTTTTTATGATCTACAGCTAGAGTTCAAAGAAACTGTTTTTCACTCATGCGAAGAACAACTTTCATTCATTGTGGGCGCTGTGATGAGAGATGAGGATTCGATCACTGGCCAAGAGATAGAAGACATCACGCTGGAGATCAATCGACTAAAGAGAAGGTCTCAGTTTGAACAGATCAAGACGTCATCCACCTTCAGTACTTACGTTACCAAAGATGACGTCCAGCAGCAGGTTGGTATTTAGTTTTTATATCTCCAGTAGAAAATGTAATGAAAAAAAAAAGATTTCATTTAGTACATCCTAATATACATATAGGGTCTTCCAACAGTGATTTTGATAATTCTAAAGAAATGAACTTTGAATTTTCAAACCAGTCTCGGATATACCTACACACTAGGTTGAATGGACTGACGCCTATCAGAAAACAACTACTCCCTTGGCTAATACCACGAAAGGCGTTGAATTATATCCGACAGGTGTCAGTGCAGGAATCTTCACAGAAAATTTCCTGCATATGCAATTGGCAATACAACTGAAAGAGTCGACCTTCAATTTTGGAACGGGCACACTTGCAGACCGGTTTCGGGCTCATTAGCCACTCATCAGTGTAAGATAGTGGCCATCATCGACCTAAAGTCAATGATATTCCACAACTGAAAATCGGAATTCTTTCAGAGTATTTCATTCCTCTTCCTAAGTTGGAGCGAACAACAAAATGTCACTCCATCTAGTGGACGAGTTACTAACCAACTGCATATCCGAAATTTGCCCGATTCCTCTGAATAAGGAAGAAAAACTTTCTTATTAGTCAGTGTCTCTATCTTGCACTGACGAGTGGCTAATTTAGTCTTCCTACCGAAGTCCTCATAGAGTGTACATTTTCGATTCCAGGTTACAAAGATCTCGGATCTGCTGAACTCCCTCCTCAGATACAGTTCTGACTTGGACGACACCCTGCAATCCGAACTGGAAAAGTTGAAGGAACTGACAGCCTCGCCGATACAGATATCTGAAGCTGAGCGCATCGCCATCGTGAAAGCCATAGGCCTGAGCCCCGGCCACTGGTACAAGTGCCCCAACGGGCATCCTTACCTCATCACCGAATGCGGAGGCGCCATGCAGGTGTCCAAATGTAACGACTGCGGCGTTGACATTGGCGGAAGGAACCATCGATTGCTACCGGGGCAAGAGGTCGCTACCGAAATGGATGGGGCTCTTCACGGTGCTTGGTCTGAGGCGGCGAATATGGAGAATTACGCGTTGTGAGATTTTACAGTTTGTTTTTAGTGGTTTATTTTATTGATGTTATGCTCTCTGGCAAAAATTGCTGTTTCCACACACCAGAATACTTTGAAGGGGCAGGTTTCGCTTTGCAAGCGACATCATCAGAGGGTGGATAAAAAGCTCCTTTATATTTAGGTAGAGAAACGCCAAAAACTTGCAAGGGCTAATTAGTTGTCATTTTTATCCGACATAACAAATGTACAAAGAAAAAGAAAAGTGGTAAACAAAAAAAAAAAAAGAATAATATAGTAGTAGCAAAATAATAGTGAAAAAAAATCTAAAAAATATCTTTTCTTATAAACCATTTCATTTGTTTGAGCGAATTAGTTAAATTTTCTTTTGTTCTTTTCCATATTTGTCTTTTTTCTAGTATAAACAGTGTCTTGGGGCAATAAATTACTATTATTATTATTATTATACTTTTGACTACTGCATACAATTTTGAATTGTCGCACATACTCATGATACAAGTGGAGCTACTATCGCAATATACCCACATTATGGACAGATGAAGTATCTTTAGATGTTCTTGTTTGAATCCTAGCGAACCCTTTCATATGCACTACTAAGAACTAACTGATCTAACATAACTAAAACAGAATAGCATATGTTTTTTGAAATGCCTGCAGAGTTGTAAAATACTTGTGAGAAAAAGTCTTCTATGTCTATGTCAAACATCACACTCCACATATTCCGATGGCAAAACCAGAAAAGTATGGTGTTGAGAAAAACTCTTCATAGTTTAAGAAATGTGGTGTATTTTTATTATTATTTTTTTTAATCATTGAGGTCATTACTGCTCTGGACTCGATGCCGGAGATATCTAAATATATCGCGAAAAGTTGGGAGGGTTCCAACTTTGTATGGTCTGCAATTCACACCTATTATGTTTTTGACCACTTCACAATGTAGAATTTACATTTATTTTCAGTCTATTGAAATTCAACTAATGTTTGTTGATGGTAATATTCGTTTTATAGTCATCATTATGATTCCCCAATTTCATTTCGTGGAATGAAGAATAATCTTTTAAGAGAAATAGAATGAAAAGCTAGATTAAACATGTTTGTTTTAACTATATACTGTTGATGACTTGCATAGCAAAACCAACCAAAAAAAGGTGGTTTGGTGTTTTTTTTTCAGCAATATTGTTCTTTTAATTTAGATATTTAAAAAAAATTGTTGAATGGTTTAAATTTTATAGTAAGCGTTAAGTTTTTTTATTAATCTAGTTTTTCTGAATAAATAAATACTTCTAATACTCAAAACGTAGTTCAATCTGTTTGATTATTTTTGATTCTCTTCTATACATCGAATATTATACAAGAAGTAGAAGAGAACCTGTTATTCTTAACAACCAGAAATGACGTTATTAAAACCATAGATTTATAATATTTAGCCAATAGTGATAGTACAGAAAATACAACTGTTTTCTTTGTTTAAACAAATAAGTATCAAAGCCTTTTAGTTTTCAAAAGCATCTTTTTTTTCTGAAAAAAGAGCATTTAATCAGTTTACTGACAATGAATATGAAATCCATATTTGTTATGTACTTGTATTTAAGAATTTTTTTTATTATTATACACACAATCGTTAACTTTCGAACGGAATAAGCTATCAAGGTAGGAAAAAATGTATGTAAAAGGGCATCTTTTCAGAAGTTTTTGTTTGATAAAAAGACAATAGTGTTACTTTTACTTCACTGGTTCTTGGTTATAAATTCCTACATTGCAATTTACTAAATTTAGTTGATATTGTATTTTATTGTACATCTTCGGAAGGAACTTATTATATTGTAATGATAAGGATTTCCAATTGAAGCCAAGCATCTATCAAGCAAGTGTATACTTGCTGTATAATATTACCTTCAGATGTACATCACGAGTACAAATTATTTCTGGTTCTGAAAATGCCAAAAAGTTAATGGAGAAATCCCAAAGAACAAGAGAGTGTGTGAGACTTTTATTTATATTATTAGATGCTATTCTAGACAAAAACTTATTCTTTAAAGTCAAGTTCGAAGTAGAAAATTTCAGACTTCTATATCACCAACATTGTTTCTGAAACCATGCAACACCTCATCATCTGCCTTTCTGCTGATAACCTTGTCTTGGTGACTCTTATACTGCTCCGAAATCCTATATTCCAACTCGCTTAGGGTATCGTTAGCGATACACTCCCGAATTTTCTTAAAGAACCTCAAATAATGGTGAATATTGTGAATCATGAGTAGAACAGGAGCCAACAGCTCTTGAACAGTTAGCAGATGGTGAATATACCCCCTGGAATATTTCTTGCAAGCCAGGCACTCACACGTCGCAATGATAGGGTCAAAGTCTTCAGCGAACTTTGACTGACGCAAGTTCATTTCATAACTGTCACTTTCTTCATCCCCGTCAATAGAGAAAGTCAGCGCAGCAGAACGTTCTGTTAAAATACGACAATATGAGGTGTCAAATACGTCAACTCCCTCCTGCACGAGCTTCAATACGTTCAAAGGGTTCCAACAGCCTTGCACGGAGACCAGTTTTTCTGGAGGTAATTTATCTATCACATAGCTAACTACAGGTTTTAATTCGTTGAATGGTAAGAACTCGACTTCTGGACCGTTGTTGTGCAGACCATCAATGAGGAACCCGTCCAGGACATCCTGGTCCTTCAATATAGCCTTGATGCACTTTTCCCTGGAGTTCAAGCAATATCCGCCTGCTATCGGGGCCATGACAAACTTATCCTTCAGAATGTCCGACTTCCTATGCCGTTCCAAGCATTGCTTGCTAAAAGTTATTGTATTCTCCACAGCTTTCGACACTCTTTTTTGAGAACTGGTCATGTTCGTATCTCCATCAGACAGCAGGTAGTACATGTCGGGCTTGAAAGATTCCACGATATTCATGTACATTTCCGAATCGTAGAGTACCTTACCTTGTTTCGTCCAAATAGGGATTTTATCTTTTATATGGTGGCCCTGCTTCGTCAAATTGCTGGGATCCTGTAGTGTCAGACAAGTCAAACTGTTTTTACTACCGATGAACTCTGAAATCGTTCCATTGTAGTACTGCGAAGTCTCTTGAAAGCAATGCATGCTGACTAGGGGGATTTGTAGTATTTGCGGTTCCGTACTCACCAGTTTGAAAACTTCGTGAGTGACGTGCGGAATATGACCTCCTTGAGTGTGTAAAAGGACTAAAGGGGTTTCCATTTCTAAATCGGGTTTATTTTCAATTTTCAAAACCCCCAACCGAGGCGCTCGGTGACGAGGGGTTCGAATTGAGAATTTCATATTTTTCATAATTTCCAGGTGGTTAATAACAAAATATAACTATTTGATTTTTCTTTACAATTTTGAATTTGACATTTTTAATAAATTAACCTGATTATTTCTTCTTCTTATTTTTCTCAGACATACATACTGATGTTGCCAGTTTGCGAATTTATGAAAACCTCGTAATTATGGCAACAATCGACTAGGCCGTCAGAGGGCGGAAGGTTAAAAAGGCATTCAAACAACTATTTTAGTGGTTGAATTTTTTATACTACATCGATGGGAAGCAAAGACCATAAAAAAAGAGTTGAAGTGCTTGTGAGGTAGATTTTGGCTGTCTCTTTCGCGAGGTTTTGGCATTTGAAATGTCATTAATAACTATTCGATTTGTGGCTTGCGCAGTGATACGAAACTTTCCTCTGGTATTTGAACTCAGCTTTGTAAACATTTATTGTTTTGAGAGAAAAGAATTACAAATTAGAAATTAATTTCATTTATTAAAGATGTCAGTTTGGTTGGTGAAACATGCGTCAAAAAAGCATTGCAGTTCTGTTGTTTAGGAAAAGTGCTTGTTTTGGATTTATTTTACGTTAAAGGTTCCAGTTTCACCTTTTATTAAACTTCTGAATGTAAAAAAACTTACATGTAGCCTAGAATAAGGGACACATTACAAAGTTTTCTGAAATTAGCGTAACACTTTGAAGGTTTCACTTTGCAAAATAAACACTTGACTACTCGTCAAAGATATCTTTATTCAAACAAGCAAAAATCTATCACACAGTATAGAAGCATTTCCAAATGAAAGAACTTGAAAAGTACAAAAATATAAACTGTCAACTATTTCCAGTTTTTTGTTGACAGACAGTTCATCTTCAACTTACACGGAAGTTTTTGGACGTTTTTCTACCCAAGCTTTGATGGCTGGCAAAGCAAGCACATGTTCGTTGACAGCTCTCAGATTGGGATAATCTCCAGTGATATCCTTTTTAGCCATATTGTTCAGGTATGGCAACATGGCGGCGAAAAAGAGATCAGCCCATGACAACTGAAATAATGATAAACCTTTGTATTTGTGTTTTTATTGTTATATTGCAATTTAAAAATGTAACATTTCCACTTCTTTTATAGATAACTAGATTTAGGAGAAAGATACTTACTAGAACGCAAATCATTGACCGTATCGGCAGCCGCGTCTATTTCCAGGTCTTCCCAATCGTTTTGGCCGTTAAGTTTCACCTGTTTAGCCAAATATCTACAAATGGATGTGGACTGGTGAGCTACTTTGCCGTTGAACTCCAGAACAGGCATCTGACCAAAAGGCATAGCTGAAAATTTAATACATGTGTTGAATATAACTTTATTTCAACTTTCCCAAAAACCATTGGGTGTTTATAATACGGAAATTCAAACTCAAAATGTGCATGAAGAATATATACGAGGCCGGTTAAAAAATGAGGTGAATGTTCATATTTTGCGGGATACGTACATTCAATTAGTTGTTACACCATAACTGGTGACGAATTTCGGGTATATGGTTCATGGCTTTACATTTTAGTCAATTATTATACAATTGGAATGTTATTCTGTTAACTTGTACTTTTTTGTAACTCCAATTTATCTACAAGCATTTTTTTAGAAACTATATTGACGAATCTTATCCTCTCATACCTATTTTAGAAATTGTATTTCTTGAGACTAATAAATTTATTATTATTATTATGGTTATGACATGGAAACCAAAATCCAATCGTCCAATATACTCAAGCGCTTGCTTGTTCGTAATTTCTTGGCCAAAAGCAATACCGTAATCACGCCCCACACGACTTTTTCTTGTTCCCAAGATTGAAAAGACCCATGTAAAGACGGAATTTTGCGACAAACGAAACAAAATAGAAATCGATGAATAAATAAATATTTTTTGAGAAAAATTAAAATACACCTTATTTTTTTAACAGAGCACAATCTTATCAAATTATGGAACAACTTTTTCACATGAAACACACTCTTTCAACTGATGAACAGACATTAGTTTACTTACTTGGTTTTAGTGCCGGCCATTGTTCAAACTCAACACGGACATCTTCGAAATCCAGTCCTCCGTAGCTTAGTAGGAATCTGATCGGTTCTCCAAGAGCCGTAACATTGAAGTAGGTGAGTTTGTACGCTGGAGCCATTTCTGAAAAATTAAATAATCCAATTAACACGCCGTTCTGGAGATGAATAAAAGTCTTGCAACTTTAGAATATTTTGACAGCGACATAATTTTATTTTCAATTCATTATTGATAGATGAAAGACAGACGTCATCGCGTTTGAAGAGTTTCAAGATCCAGAAATAATTACAACAGAGAGGACAGAATGACCATAAATAAAGTTTGGCTACCTGCACCAAATTGCACACCCAATAAGTCATTTATTCAACCAATAGGAATAATGCCACGACCACTAACAATGAAATAAAGCCACATACCCCAACCATTGATTTAGTATCTGCTGTGAGGACAATCAGAACATTTCCTAATTGAGTTACTTAATTTATAATTTTAAATACTTTTGAAAACAAAATTGACAGTTCAGTGGACGTGTCTGTTGAGATACAATATATTTTCCACATTGGCAATATATTTCAATTGTGGGCAGTTCTTGATTAGGTACCCCAAACGCTTATTAAAATTTTGAACATAGCTGTGTGTTAGGAGTAGATCGAAAAGATGTTGAGCCTAATTTTTCTTTCATTCTATTGAAAGTAAGATCATATGACCACATCTTATTGAAAGTGCACACGTCACTACAGAATTGTGTATTTTTTTGTATTTCAATTTGGCGCAATTATACTAGTCAGATTCTTCAGTAAAGAAACAAATATTTAGATATTCAGAAGTTAACTTGATTCCATTAAACTCGAATGAGTTCCATTTTTCGATAAACTACAGACCAGATCCACACCTAGAAGTGGAAAAATACCATACAATCGACCTTCAAATACCGGTTGCTAAGTGTTTTCAATATTATGTATTAGACAAATCAAATTATTCAACATTCAGAATGAATGCCCATGATTGTTAACTCTAATAACAAAAAAAACACTTACCCAATATTGTATTCTTTATTACAGAAATAAAGAAAAAACTCTCTTTAGGTTATAAGTAACAATAGCGACAATCTGAAGTCACTTACAGGAATGAGGAATAGCTAATAGGTGCTAATAGATAGCTTAGATAATTATTTGGCTTTGACCTCGTTTCCCTATGAATGATTGGTCAGGTTTACTCCAACCAGGGCGAATTGTTGACAACTTCAAAAAATCCCAGATTACTGTCGTTGTAAAAGAGGAATTCGTTCGGGCATTTCCGGTGAAACGTAATTTTGAATCGAATATAATTTGAAAATAACGTCACTACAATTGGCTTAATGCGACTCAATGAAAGCAAAAGCCATTAACATATAGAGAAAGAACATCACTACAAAAAAATATTTCAAATACATTAGGTTAATCAGATAATGTCCTTCAGATAAAAATCGAACCGAATATTATTTTTCTCAACGATTCTATGACTTAGCCGATAATAGTCTAAAAAATGTAGACAAATCGAATAATTACGTTAACCTGAAATGGATCTAGTAGAGCTCAATAGAAAAAAACATATATGTAAAATCTTCCAGTGTTCTTGGCAGCAATACTAATAATATTTAGTATTATAACGGGATTATGCAACAACATGTGCATAAACCAGACACTATTTTTAGGTATAATCTCCGTTACCCACTGATTATTAGGTTCAGATCGGTTAGTGAATCTTGTGTTCGCAAAAATACTACTAAAATTATCACGGAGGCAGTTACAGTCACCTTCATGACATGCGGGTCCAAGAAATCACGCAGATATGAAGAATATCGAGTGTCTCCATCTATTAACAGGAACCACAAATACTTCGTTTATAAAACAAGAATATCGATTATCTTGATCTATTAACAGAAACCACAAATCTGCGCTATACTAATGATGGACCAAAGTCCAGAAATACGGGTCTATGGTTTTGCCCTTTCTTGAGTGCTAGGTCCAATAAAATTATGACTTGGATTTATATTCGCAAAATGTTTTCTAAATTAGGATATTCATGTAGATGAAATCATAAAACAACTTAATTGTAATGTTCTGTGGTTCGGTGATGTATTTTGTTATTATTGGTGTTCTATGTCAGAAAGTGGATGGCGTATCTGATGAGATATTCAATTCGTTTCATTATACAGTCGGTGTGGTGGCGCCCGTGATATACAAGATCGGGGAATTACAGATTTGCAATGATTGGATTGTGCTGACTGTAGTTTATAAGCTGTTTGAATTGGGAGTGGCCGTCCATTCAAGTGAAATATAATATGAGCTTTCAGAGAGACAATTGGAGGAATCCAGCAAATAGAACATCCTCTAATGGTGAGTTGAGAATATAGTAATGTATACACTGATAATCCATCGTATCGTTTAACAGAGAAATACCATAACTCCATCTTGTAGGTATACTTATTTGATTTTCAGTGATTTTTATTTTGAATGTTCACCTCATTTCCACCCCTAGACTTTCTGGAAAACCAGGAAGAAAATGTAATCTTGCTCAATCGATCAACAGAAATAACATCTGAATCTTCAGGTGTACAAAGTCAATTTTTCATGATATTTTAAAAATATTTCGAATATTCTTTGAAAGGCATTTTTTGTGGACGACTCAGTGTCTTAATGTTTTTTGGGCGTATCATGTGATGTAATTGACCGATACTTGATGAAAAAACCATAATACAGGGCGTAACAAAAGGTAGGTCATAAATTGATCTATATATTCTGGGGTCAAAAATAACTCAATCTGATTTAACTTACCATATTGCCATAATGTGCACACAAAAAAAGTTACAGCTCTAGGCAATATTTCATGAACTGTTCAACATTTTATAATAAAAATAATCTTTATCATTTGATACCAAGAAATCTGTTCATACAAATTTTTTAGGGGCAAAACCCCCTAAAACTTATCTAGCCGTTACAACTAAATCAGTATTGTATAGAGATGCGGCAAAAATTTTGTGTAAAAAAACGTAAGTCATAGGTAATAACTGAGTATTCATGTTATTTGCAGCTACAAGAAATATGTACAAATGTGTGGTTTTCCTAAAATTAATGTACAAAATGGCCTCTATTTTCCTGAATACACATCGGGCACCGTTTGAAGAAAGGAAACCGAATTTTTTGGAAGGCATCTGACGACACTGATTTGCACTTTCATTGATTCGATACCTCAGTTGTTATTCGCTGATTATTTCAACAGAATAAACGTCTCCTTTCATAAAACCCCAGAAGCGTAAGTCGATAGGGTTAAAATCTGGACTTCTGGCTGGCCAAGCCTCTTCCAATTCACTTCCAGGGTACACTCCCTAACTGGAGCTGGAACTCCATCTTGTAAAGACAACATATTTTGGCGTATTCCTGAATTCACCTCTTCTAAGTATTCTGGAATTTTTTTTTTGCAAGAACTGTAAGTAATTTGCAGCGTTCAATTTATTTGGAAGGAATGCTGGTCCTACTGAATTATTATTCACAATGCCCGCCCAAATATTGACTCAAAAAGTATTTTGGTTTTCTTCTGCCCATATATGTGCATTACGGTGATTCGTAATGCCATTTCTATTGAAGGTAGCTTCATCGGCAAATAAAATATAAATAAATGAACTGATGATGCAAAATGCATTCATGTGGAAATTTGTTTGTGCTATTTGCTAGGATGTTTTTTTATTTATTTGATTTGAATAATTGATGATTGAGCTGACTACATTTGAACTGACTACATAACAAAATGGACATGATCGTAGTTTCTTCATATATACGATAGGTGGCACAGTGGTCTCCTCAAAAGCGTTCTGGTTTAAACAAGTGTCCGAGATTATGTCGGACTGTTTTAGATTTTTTGCTTGTACACATCATGTCTTGCGCTGTTTCCAAAGAGTTTCGGATGTTAGAACCAGAACAAACCTATAAACTATTGTAATAGAAAGTTTGATTTTTCTCAACACTCTCTTGTAGTAGATGAACAAGGCGGATTCTGGCCCACTTCAAGGTCGAGCGTCGTTGGTAAGTATTTCAGAGAGAAACTTTAGTGAGTGGAAGAGAGAAACGTGTGACGTCATCGACTCAGGATGGAACGAGTATCGTAGCGATTCAAGCATGGAACTCGGTCTCCTTGGGACTCCGCATCACCCCTCGACCCCCTTGTCTCGTTCCAGATATTGAAACTGTTACTTTCAATATCTTACTTGGTGTAGAGGCACCGCGCGGACGATCCCGGTTCGAGTCTCATAACTATCTTTTTTTAATTAAAATCACGTGACTGGAACGAGGGTATACAGTACATTTCTTTAATGTCCCCCCCTTTTATTTTTTCAACTCAACCCAAAAAATAGAAATTTGGGATAATTAAATTAATGCATGAATACTTTATTTTGGAGTGAAATTGACAGATGAAACTTTCTAGATAACGACTGGGCGCCATCTGAAAAAAAAAAATAGATGGAAAAGGGTGTCTTATGACACATCTTTTTGAAGCTCCTGACAAATGCTTCACAACCCTAAAATATAATGTCTATATCTTCAATTACTACAAAATGGCGGAACTTTTAATAATTGCCTGAATACATTGACATTTAATTACATAATATGAGGTATAAGCATGAGGTCAGTTCAGAAGTTGCTCGAAATGGTTGCCTTGAACTTCTTGACATATGAACACCCCCTCCGATATTTCACGCCGAACATTTTCGAACACAGTAACGTCAATATCTCTACAAATATTTATTATTATCTGCCGTATATCGAATATTGAAGCAGGTTCAGTTTCGTACACCTTTTGCCGCAAATAGCCCCTTAAACAAGTCCAATGTTGTCAAATCTGGCGAGCGGGCTGGCCATTCTGTAGGACCTCGACGGCCAATCCAACGACCTGGAAAAGTAATATCCAAATAGTTTCTTACTTGTCTGGAGTAAAATGGTGGTGCTCCATCTTGTTGGAATACAATATCCATATCGAATTCATTAGGATTCGCTTCGACGATTTCATTGATGAGACGGTCAACAGCATATTCAAATACAATTCCCCTGTTAAATTTTGATCAATAAATAGATGTCCTACAATATGGTTTCCCGATATTACTGTCCAAACGTTAATTTAATTTTTCTGATCAAGTCTGAAGTCAAACTATTGAAAGCAGTTGTAACTCTCGATTTCATATCTTCCATTGTTGTTATTGGAGTAGAGTAAACCATATTTTTAATGAAACCCCACACGAAATAATCTAATGGATTGCCATCTGGTGTTCTAGGAGGCCAACGTTCTCTTTCTGGTCTATTATTTAAAATCATTTGACTTCCATTCCTCAGTAAATCTTCATATTTTGATGCATTCAAATTATCATCATAAAACTCGATATAAAAAATTGACTCATTCTTTATGGCACAAAATACATTGAATTGCCATCTTTCTTGAAAACTCCTTTGGCGGACAACATAGGGATTTTCTGGCGCCCAATAATGACTGTTGTGTCTATTGAAAACTCCATTTTTTGTGAACTTGGCCTCATCTGTCCATATGATATTGTCAAGGAAATGTTCATCCTCTTGAGTCTTGACAAGTAACCATTCAAAGAATTCCACTCTAAGAGGTAAATCAGTCTCTTTCAAATATTGGACACTGTAGAACTTATAGGGATGCCATTTATGCTTATTAAGAATTCGACAAATTGTCACGTAGGGTATACCTATCTCCCTTTCAGCCTCGTGCAGAGAAGCATTTGGAAATGCATGAAAGTATCCCAAAACTGTTATACCATTGTCATCATCATCCACTTTAGTCTTCTTACGAATGATTTTTGGACGGAAGGTTCCATTCAACCTACAGTTTTTTAGTAGTCGATTTATCACATTATTATTCGGCTTCGGAAGTTGTGGATATCTTTCATGAAATACTCGGCATGTTCTACTTGCAATTCTATTGCACTCACCATAAATTATTAATAAATTCAAGAAATCTTCATTACTGTAACCTAATCTTGACATTATTCTATTATAAATGGTAGCTATCACAATCAGTCAAAACCACCAACGAAAGTCTGACGTTAAATAATTGGTTTATTTATTCATCCAAAGCACACTATTAAAAAATATTAATGTGTACCTATTG